TGAGGAAGAGGGTGTGAGGCAGCACAGGGATAACCCGCAGTGTAGCACAAAAGGGCAGTCACGCTCAGGCTGAAATGTAGCAATGGTGAATCAAAGGCAGAGGTTCTCTGAGCCTCGGAAGTTCAGCATACATTTATCTGAGCTTTCTCATGACCAGTGAAATAGCTAATTGAGAGGCTGCTGTCCAGTGACTTAATTTATCTTTCTCATCAGCAGATCGATGTTGTTCCCACATTTATTAGGTTAATAATCTGTAATTGCTGACTGAAGGTGTTTAGTGGAACAGAGGAGAGGTTGAAGGTATGCATTAGATAACAGGCTTTTACTACCAGATTTCCCTCTTGTCTATCTTCATCTCTTCACCAAAGAGCATTTAATTTACGTTACTGTAGGATTTCTCTTTATTTATTTGTTTTGCACTGGAAGGGACTTATTTGGTTTTTCAAATCAGGTCTTAATTTGCAAGAATTAGGAATTCTCAAAGAATTTCCAAGAATGATAGAGATTGAAGCAGGACTTCCTCTGTTAGTGTTTTGCAGGCTTTGAATGCGTTTCATCTTGAAAATACAGGTATCTCCTTGAGATTTTCTAAAAAGCCTAATTTGATTAGACTTCTGATAGTAATAAGGACTGACTAGCAGTGCGACTCTTGTCAGAGATTATCTCCCGTATCATAGGCCCTTGGCGTGCAGAGGTTAGCAAATATGATTTACTTTTTGGGAATCTCTTTGCAACAAGCCTGTTGAATTTTACAGAAGCTTTATGCTCAGAGTGCAGAGGAATGCCAAGTCAAGGATCACTGATCAAATCTAGCATTTCCTAGCTCTCATTTTTTTAAAATTTTTTTAAGATCACAAAAGACAAATTATTCCTAGATATCTTGTTCAGTGGCCTTACTGAGCATAGTGTGTCGAAGCTACAGCTGAACAGCAATTGGCAGTGATGCCACTACTAATTTTTAAAAGCAACTCTAGTAGGTAGCTTTCATGAAAGTGGCTGGTGTAGCTCAGAGATGAGAACACACTGAGATAAATCTGTTCCACTGATTGATGCTAGCAGCAGCCAGAGCTGTGCACAGTTTTCAAACAAACAGTATGCACAGTTTGAAGTCACGGCATAAAAACCATCTAACATCCATCTAAGACGTGCAGCATGGTTAATGGTTCTAAAAGAGCAAATGCATTTCATAAGTAAAAGGCATTAAGGGCCTTGCTGCTTTTCTAGGATGGCTGGACTAGTAGAGAAGCAGGGTGCTTCACTATTGCATCTAGTGCAAAGGGGGCAGCTTGAGGCCAGATTGGAGAACTGCTAGTCTTCCTGCATATCTGCAACGCAGGGGAATGCAGGATTTGCTTTCCAAATTGCTGTCACAAGAATCACAAGAATCACAAGGTTGGAAATGACCTATAAGTCTGTCTTGGTGTCCTGCCAGGAGCATGGAGTTTGTCTGTGATTGAGCTAGAGAAAAACAAAAGCATTCACAACTTCACCATGAGTGATAGATTTCTTATTTTGTAACATGCAGATCATCTAAGCATCTCATACTACGTGCACTAGAGAACATAATAACTAGGATGAACACAAAAGAAGAAACACTTTTATCTCTGATGTTATCTAGGATTGAGCAGTTCACAGCAAAGTCAGAGACTACTTTGGAGGAAAAAAAAAAAAAAAAGAGAGAGAATGCAGTGCCTTCTCAGTCACAGTAATAACTATAGAGGTACACTAATCATCCAGAAAAAGTGCAAGTCAGTTTTGTTCTTGGCTTTGAAATTACTGATTCAGTGCACTAGCGAGTAAAAATAAAAGTTCAGAAAGTGAAGCTTTTCTCCTCTGATCCAAAAACTGCTTGTTTTGGTCCCAGATGTACATGGTATTAACTGCTTTACTGTATTTCATTCCACAGCTCTTGCTTGGAAAGGGATGACTGGTACAGCTGTATCAGCAGACACATCCCGGACTACAAAGCTCACAATACTTCCACTTTCCACAGCAACGTGGAGGTAAGAGGAAGCTGAATCTTTCATGCTTGAAGGGGAAAGATTCAATGGGAAGGGAAGAAGTTAGAAAATGCTAAAATGCAGAGTTTCTTGGGCAAGATATCCTTAGTAATTCCAGTAAGATCAGAATGCAAGCCTAAATGACAAAGCTTATTTACAGTGCATGGTTTTAGAGACCACCTCTGAAATGTTAATCGCAGTCTGTATTCTGTGGTCTTTGCTTAAATACGAGTTCACCTGGAGGAAGACTAGCAAAATTTGTTCCCAAACAGTAACCATTTTTACTGGTCTAAAAATAGATACAAATTCTTATCCTGGTTTTAGATGGAATGGAGTGGATTTTCTTCATATTAGCTGGAATAATGCTACATTTTGGCTTTTAAAGAAAAACGAGCCTATTTTAGTTGTTGCTGAGATGTGCTGCACACAGCCAAGGACATTTCAGCTTCCCCCACTGTACTGTCAGAGGGAACTGGGGGTGCACAAGAAGCTGGGAGAGGACAGAACAGGGACAGCTGACCTAAACCAACCATACCGTATGACACTGTGAAAAAGCTATAAAGCTGTGGGTGTTTGCTGGGGAGAAGAGAGTCATTGCTTGGGAACTAGCTGGGCATTATTCAGCAGGTGGTCAGCAATTGCATTGTGCATCACTTGTTTTATATACATCCACACACACGCATATATATACAGAGAGAAAACGGGGATCAGTTTCATACTGACCATGGCTCCATAGCTTGGATAACAGGCAGGCACATGCACAACTGCAGCCTTGTGTATTCTAAGAAACAGGAATAATAAGTACATTTACTATAGTTGTTCCATATATCCAGATCTGCCATGGAAAGCACGGATTATGTTTGGATTCTGTGGGGATAAATTCCTTTTTGTGTGCATCATGTTTTGCACTGGAAAATAAACAAGCTTATACTGATTTTTGGTACTTTCTCTTCTGCATTCTTAAAACTGCCCCAGGTGTAATGAAATAATGAACTAGGCTTCTTTCCTGCTGAAAACTATGGAGCTGGAGTTTTTTAGGGTTAGTATTTCAGAAACTGCCAAGAAAAAGATGACTTTAACTCATGGCCTTGTCTGCAATTTGCATATGCAATGAATAAAGTCCTTGCTTCACGTGGAAGGTTGTCAGTGACTGATCAATAACGGATCTATATCCATTGTTATCTGTTTTGACTACCTTTCACAGCACCATATATTGATGGGCATAGACTTTCAGTGCTGAAGCACTTAGAATCTGTGTATCACTGCACCTATATCTTCGAAAAACTGGGTATTCTAGCAGGTGAACTGTAATGACAGAACTGCAGTATTAGGAGGATTGAACGGGTGTACTTCAGGAGTGTGAATACTTCTTGATATGTCCTTCTTTGATTTTAAGTTACGGGAAAGGCTTGGAATACCCTTGGGTGAGAGGCCTCCTACTTTGGTACCTGTATCCCATGTTATGATGTGCATGAACTGTGGCTGTGACTTCACCCTCACTTTGAGGCGACATCACTGCCACGCCTGTGGGAAGGTAAGAGCTGTACAAGCTCCTCAGGGAGGCTTTATTCACACTACTAAGATGGTGGCTGCCACCGCTCTAATTTCTGCAAGTTTTTTGCAATATCAAGACCAGAATTTGACTTTCCACAGAACCTGTTAATGCATTGCTCTGTTAGGTAGTTAGGTTTCTCATGACTAGTGTGCAACTAAAATCTGTGTGGGATTCTGGTCGGCTTAGATCAGTGTAAATTTACAGTAATTATAGTTCAACCAGTAAATTTACCCTGACTGACACAGATGTAGCAAAATTATCTGCTCCACTATCCATCCTTCTCTCATAAACAACTCAGAGGATTTGTTTTATATGTGCATACGTATCAATAAAAATTATATTTACATGCAAATCTCCTTTCTGGAGCAGATTGTATGTCGAAACTGTTCAAGAAACAAGTACCCTATGAAGTACCTCAGAGATCAAGCAGCCAAAGTCTGTGACAGCTGCTATGTGGAATTGAAGAAAAGAGGTAAAGTTCCTCCATTCTTGGCAAAATTGACAAATATACTGTCTATTTGTATAATGGAGATGCTTTTAGGACCTGCCTGCTATGTTAACCTTTGTGACAGAGGATTTCTCATTTCAACCACAATTCATGTATATTGAGGTCCCAAAAGTCCCAGACTGTAAGGCAGCTAAAATTGTTTTAGCAAGCTAAGTTCTCTGAGGGTTTCCCTGGCCTTTTGATAAGCCAGTATAACGGCAAGAAGTGTGAGATGTAAACATTGGAGCTGATAGCTGTTCCCTGTAATTTCTAGTGAATTATCCATTAAAGAAAAACAGTGGCTTTACTGTACCTCATTCTGTCCTTATCCTTGTTGCTTTTACAACAAGGAATGCTGAGATAAAGTGCAGAGCTACTAAGAGCTTTTCTACATAGAAAGTTAATCTGGAAACAGATGGAAGCAGAAATTCCTGACAGTAGAGCTACTGCCTAACTAGAACTCTCTATATTACTATATGAGTCCATGTTCTAATTTAAATACACATTCAAACTGAAGATAAATTGGGGGGGGGGGGAGGTGAGGGATTTGTATATATAACTGTGGGAAATGGCTCTATATCCAGGTGGAGGCCAGGGACAAGTGTTGTCCCCCAAGGGTCTGTCTTGGGACTGGCGCTCTTCAACATCTTATCAGTGTGACTGCGATAGTGTGACTGAGCGCACTCTCAGCAAGTTTACTGATGACACCATGCTAAGCGGTGCAGTAAATACAGTGGATGGAAGGGATGCCATCCAAGGGGACCTGGACAAGCTGTATTCTTGCACTGCCAAATTTTCTTTCAGACTGCTTTCAAGTAGCTGTAGGTTATTACCAGTACTTGAGGATGCTATGAAATCCAGCCAGCCAAACAAACTTAACAGAGTAATTTGAAGGAAAAGCTGAAATAAAAACCTGCTACAGAGGAGCTGGTTGTTTGTGTTAGTGTGTATCTCTTACCCCTTGTATGACATAGAGCAATTCATCCATTTCTCCCTTCCCTTCTGAATTTTCTTTATCTTCCAGAGCGGCCACTAAGTATGAGCTTTCCTCCAACTTCATCCAGGTGTTCAAGCAGTGCCTTCTCTTCAGTCTTCCACAATATCCATTACTCATCTTTCAAGAAACAGAAAAAGATCCCGTCAGCTCTTACAGAGGTAGGACCAAGGTGGCTAAGAAAGGCAAGAAACTGCTGAGAACTACGTGCTGAGATTTCAGCAGCTATGTTTATAATTTGTTCTGCAAGCAGTGGGCTTATACCATGCTCTAGTCATCAGCATGCAATTATTTTTTTCTGTTTTTCACGCTAATGTTTCAAACATAAAGTACTCTGAGCCCTGGAGACAGCACAGAAACTTCTTCAGCCCACTAAGAAACCCATATTACAGCAGTGTGCGTTTCCTCATCAACCTGTACCGTCTCCAGAAAACTGAGACCACCTCCTGGTATCAGCTGGTACAAGGAGGCAGGTCACAGCCTTCGCAAGTACCAACAGAGCATGATTTGCCGTTGACTGGTTACTTTTTATGAAATTGATGAGACCCTTATGTCACACAATAGTATTAATCTGTAACTTTTTTTCGTTAGCTTTAGCCAGGACCTGGAATGCTTTTATTCTGCTACAGAGCACTGTTGTGTGATACTGCTCAGTCTTCTATCTTGTCAGAAAGGCTAGATTTGAATCTCTGGAATTTTTTTCTAATTCTCAAAATAGGTCTGTGAGAGGGGTAACTTTCCTCAGAAATATTATGACTTGATTTCATTAGAGAAATAATCAAGTTATTAACATAAGTTAACATAAAAATATTGCAAAGTCCAAAACATAACCACATCTTAAAGGTGTTCAGACAAAGGACTGTCCTCCCTTACTGGAAGCATCATTTTTTTCCTATACTACCTCACCCAACAGAAAGAGCTGGCAGGAGGGACGAGTTCACTTTCTCAGAATATAATTGTAAACTTGTTCTCAGTAACAAGGCAATTGTATGTTTTCCACGTGTTACCAAGAACGATGTTTAACATCTTCAAGCAGTGGGGAAAAAAAAAGAACAGAAATAACATAAGCATGATATTACTCTATCCATGTAAACATTCATATCAGGAAGGAAAAGGCCTCTGCTGTCATAAATCCCAATTTCTCCCACTCTCCTTCAGGTGACAGCCTCAGGAGAGGGAGCTACCATCAGTGGTTACCTCGCCAGATGTAAGAGAGGCAAAAGACACTGGAAGAAACGCTGGTTTGTTATCAAAGGCAAAGTCCTCTATACCTACGTCGCAAATGAGGTACTGTGCAATCTAACTTAAAATATCTTCCTGACTGAATTTTATCATTTATGCTCTGCAGTCAACAGAAGTAAACGTGAAAGGTGTAAGTGGCTGCTCTCACAGCCAGCTGCCTCTGAGATCTGGTTCTAATGGGCTGGGCCCCTACGCAGTTACTTTTAGCTGAAGGGCTCAGCCACATCCCTGGGTGGATCTCAGCAACCTTTTTACAAACTCCCCTTCATTATTTGATTTTATTTTTTTGCTGTTCATGTTGATATATATTGTCAGCCTGAGCCTAGGTATTTACATACAAAGACTTCAAGGCAATTGCCAGATATTTTTTTTTGTAGATGTAGGGTGGTGCTGTAATCTATTTCTGCTGGAGGGAAGAGTCTTGTATGTGTAAATAAGATATACTTATCCTACTAGTATCAACAGGAAAAGATAGGATAGTCTGTGGAGATGAGAATACTGCTTTCTGTATTGACCTGTAAATTCCGCTTCCTAGCTGTGGAGGCTGGCTTTGCAGCAGACTTCTAAAGTATTTTTTTCTCATCCCAGTCCCTTTTCTCAATTTTATTTCTTCTCCAATTGAGTAGCTGCAGTGCCAGTAAGCTTGAAGGAAATACAGTACAAGGTGTGGTTGTAAATGACAGATTTTGTAAGCAGAAGCATAAAAAATGATTTTGCTGGATACAGAATGCTAGAACTGTAGTAACAGCAATATTTAATATTTTAAGTCTTCAGAACACTTTGAAAATATCAATCACTTAAATTCAGCAGTGTGAGGAATGAAGCATCATTAATTAGCCCTCTGAAAAAGATGAGGAGATTGAGACACATAAGTGTTCATGGTCTGGCCATCATTGAAAACTCAACAGCTTTCTTCAGTAGTGTGATGTATAGTTTGTTACCTCCTTAGTTTTTCTACCTGATTTGTTTCCTCTTAGGCTACATAATCTTGAACTTGACTTTTTTCCAAGGTCCTGCAGCCTCTCAGCAATTCCAACTGTTAGCATCCAGTTTTGTGTTCAATACACTTATCTGCCCTAATCTTAGAAGCGATCACTTTTTGTTTGGTGATAGGGAAAGAGCGACGGATGGCAAGTTACACGTCTTATTCCCAGCTTACAAATGAGCTTCTAAGAGCAGAAGCAAAAGCAACATACACATATAAAAATATTACAGTGACCACAGTTGCAGCTTTCAGTGAAGCTGAAACTCAGTTTGATTATTACTTATTGTTTCTTTAACTTATATAAAGCAGATTTTGGCAAAACAAAAACCGCAGCTGTATACTGGGGGAAAGTTAATGCTGAATTGTGTAACCAGCTCCAAGATTTTGAAGCAGTGTTGTTCAAAGTGAGCATGCTATCTGATGTACAGATTTTTAAAACAAAGTTGCTAGTGCTATAAAAGGAAATTATAAGGTACAAAGCAGACTACTACTTGCATTCAGCAAACAAAAATAGCTTGAAGTAACACACCCGAGACTGAGCCCCATTTCAAGCTTTCACGAGCGCTGCTGCACTTTCCCACACTGCCATTAAGCTCATTGGTTGCTTCCTGGACCATGATGTCACAGTAGTCATTAAAGTAATGGGTAATTTGACCTTTTGGATGGCCATGAGTAACTGGATTTTTAGAGGTGCTGCTAAGGTTGAAGACTATATGAACATGTGCAGTACGCTGGCACTGCTCCTGTTTAAGAGTCACCAGTTCAGCAGAAGATTCATTTTACTCCTTTTGCAGCACAGACAGTGTTTGCATATGATTGTTTTTCAGAAAGAGCCCTTAAACTGAAATGGGCTTCTCTCTCATTTTTGGTTCGCTTCTTCTCGCTTTCAGGACAAAGTCGCCACAGAAAGTTTGCCTTTGTTGGGTTTCACTGTTGCCCCAGAAAAAGAGGAAGGATGCGTGGGTACAGTTTTCCATCTCTATCACAAGCAAACTCTGTTTTATAGCTTCCGAGCAGATGATAACTGTTCAGCACAGAGGTAAGGGAATAGATGTCCGTGCTAGTGAGCATATAGGTCCAAAAGCTTATGTAAGGTTTTTCCTCTCCTTTGCTTCAGATTCCTACCCTAACAGAGGAGAACAAATGGCTTTCAGAGTGTTGGCTAAGCCCAATTGCATGCAACTGCCCTCAGTGATGGAAAGTCTACCTTTTTTCACTCCTCTGTTTAGGTAGAAAGAAGGCTGAGCCTCAAGAATCATAGTCTTCCAGTCAAATATGATTTTTGTATGGGAGCTTCCCCAGTTTGTATTCTATTTATCCACTTCTTAGTTTGGTCGTCAACAAATAATTGTTCAGATTTTGCATTTATTGCTACTCTACCACTTCTACATAATAAAATAATCATGAAACTTGTAATAAAAATGCTAGTGCCTTAAGGCACATGGGAAGAAAATTTGTATTTATGGGAGGTTTTGTTTCTTTTAAACATAATTTAGTCATTTCATATTTCATATTCTAATTACAAAACTACAGCTACAGTCCCCTTCAGGCTTTATGTTCTTAAAATACGCATTTTTGAAATAAATAATTTTACATGTACCACCCTTTCTTTCCTGCCCTTTTTAGGTGGGTTGAAGCCATGGAAGAAGCATCCATATTATAGCAACTATCACTCAAGAGACTTAGAACACTAATTTTCAGATTTCTATACAATCCAAGCAATCTTCTTATGTCTTACAAAACTGAACGGTGTATTTCAGGCAAACTGGCTACAAACACTGGATATGAACTATTTCCAGATTGCTGTCTGCTTCCTTCCTCCTCTTCCTCTTACTTCCCTCCCACCCCCAAAAAAACCCTTTAAAATAGGGAATGTTTGTGGTTACCCTCTATGCCTGTCCAAGCTCAGCCTGTGCTGTAAGCTTCTCCTATGATCCCATGGTAAGCTAAATTTAACATTAAGGAAAGAAAAAGCCATGGAAGTATAGCCTACAGTAAGCAGCAGGGTCACTTTTACTTACTGTACAGCACTATCATATTTCACTGGGTTGGTTTTGGAGTCTACCATGGAATTTGAAACAATGTAGTAAACAACAAATACTCATTTAAAGCACTTTATTATTTTCATTCAACTACAGTTTAATCTTTTCATATTTCCATGGAGTTTGGTGGACTGATTTATTATTCATCCATTAACAAATGCCAGCATGAAATTATGCCATGCACATGCTGAATTGTTTCTGCAGAAAAGGAATGAACCAAAATGCTCCATTTACCCAGTCTACCACCATTGCACTAGCTGTGATCCAGGATAATTACCTACTATCCATCTATAATTCGACACAAATCACTGTATAACTTATTTTAAACTGTTTGCTTTCATATCGCCACAGTATTTTGAAATGCACTATAGTTGCTCTGCAGTCCAGACGTTGATGTCACCCTGAATACCGTGTCAGATTCAAACCCAAAGGATATTTTAATTTATTATAAACCCACAGACAACTTTTATTTAACACTAATCTACCTATCAGTGTTAAGATTTGTATCATTTATTTAAATATTCTATCTTTATTATCAGTCCTCCTGATGTTTCTGCTGTTGTTATGAGAAATGTCATCGAAACTTTAATTCATATTCATTTTTAAAGTGAATCATTTGCAATATGCTGGTGGGGTGAAATGCACTTGTCTGAATCCTCTCTGATAAAAGTGCTTTGGAACTCCTCTGGCTAAATGAATCTTACTGCACCGCCAGGGCTGGAGTTCCAGCAGCCCAGCGGCAGTTTGGCTTCAGATGTGTGCTGCATTTACACTAGCTGAAGATGTCCAAGTTTTGGTTTCTGTTCCTTTCTTTTTTGTTTGGTTTGTTGGCTGTTGTTGAATGAA